GGGACTATGGTACCATGGAACCCGCTAATCTGCCGTTATGAAATATCTCGTTAGTGTGTACAACGACCAACGCGCGATCCACCACGACGCGCTCGTTTGCGCCGATAAGCCCGATTTTCTGCCATAGATTCGTAATCTCGAGAAGCGTTCCCCCCACTTCGGCGATCGTAATTCGTCAAAGTGTGCAATCAACAAGTTTTACGAGAAAATCTCTCGCTTTCGAATCTTTCGATTCTTAGGTTCCAGTAAAATCAAATTTTACCAAATTGAATTGAAAATTAACTTGAATTAAAACTTGGTCTCTCCCGTTTTCGAATCTTTCGATTCTTAAGTTCCAGTAAAATAAAATTCCACCAAATTGAATTGAAAATTAACTTGGTCTCTCTCGTTTTCGAATCTTTCGATTCTTAAGTTCCAGTAAAATAAAATTCCACCAAATTGAATTGAAAATTGACTTGAATTAAAACTTGGTCTCTCCCGTTTTCGAATCTTTCGATTCTTGAGTTCCAGTAAAATAAAATTCCACAGAATTGAATTGAAAATTGACTTGGTCTACCTCGCTTTCGAATCTTTCGATTCTTAAGTTCCAGTAAAATCAAATTCCACCAAATTGTATAAAAAATTAACTTCTAACATAATACGTCAATATTTCACGATTGACTCAAACATAAATTAATGAAACAATGTATACCTCCTCTAAACCCTAGTGTCATCTCTCTCGATTCAATTTTTTTAAAAATGGAACTGTATGTTTCTCTTTAAATTCATGAGACAAACTTTCAGAGACAAGCAAAGAGAAATTCTTTCAAAAGTTAAGAAACTACTCAACTAACCTGATATTATTCTATTCTATTTAATCCATTCTTCTTCTTCTTCTTCTTCTTTCTCCTGAATTACATCAACTGGGTTGTTTACAACTAGTTGTTCTCTACGTTTCGTTGCTTTTGTTGGGTTCTCTGACAGAGATAGGTTTCTTTTAGATAACTAAGAGTGTTTCCAATGAAACATCGATCTTGGAATGTCAGAATTGTGTTTGTATTTATGTCTCTGCGTTTCGAATCTTCTGCACTTGATCACAACAATAGTAGACCGGTGATTATTTGCTTATCAGAGGTTCATGACTGATTCTTGAATTTCCAGTTCCGAGTCTCAGAATTATCCTTTCCTTCCTGTCTAAGTTGTAGATAGGCATTTTTTTTTTTTTTTTTTTTTTCTGGTAAAATTCTTGAATAATGTTGTAAATTCTAGATCAGTTGGTCGAGTTCCATATTCTATTTTATTCTTTTCTTAAAATTTTGCGGGTCAATATACGAAAGTCTTGATGAGAAATTGGATTGTTGGATTCAGATAGAGAGACCGTCTGTTACCAACATAGATGTCAGCTTCTTCGTTTTTAGATATTCCAGGAGAGGAACCATCAACTCTGCGTAAGTTTCCTGAATTGTACGATTTTCGTGTTTCATTCTGGTTCCAACGAGTCGGTGTAAATAACTGAATGTTAAAAGTTATTTGATTGGGAATCGCATATGTTTAGCCTGTGAAGATGCAGGATCACTTATGAAAACACTGAGTGATAACTCGATTCCAGTTCCTTGGTTAGTTCCAAATTAGTACAGATTTTGCTATAGTTTCCATATTTGTAGTCTAGTTAGAAGAAATCAGAGTTACCTTCTATGTCGTGTTTTTTGAATGTATTTCAAACTTCCGAGAATTTCAATGATCCATGGTGTTAACCTGATGTTATTAATTCCCAAATCCCAAGAACCAGCAGAAACCACGCGGTCGTAATCGAATCTAACAATTTTAAGGACAATATTTCCAAAGTCATCCATCAAACGGCGGATTCCACCCAGCCGCGATGAACGTGACAAACTATTCATCAGAGTTATGACACCTTAACGGCGTAAACTCGGTTGGTCGGGCTCGGCGCGGTTGCCCACGAGAACGAGCTTCAATTTCACCGACACGGAAAAGCGAATTATTTTGCAACAACGGCCGGATCTGCATTTCAGCTCGTCGACGTCCTGGAAATCCCAGCTGGATGCGGACGCACTGTACCTGGGATCCCTGGAAACGCGCACACGCTTTCACTTCGATTATCTCGCGCACGAGATGAGACAGAAGAGGAAATCGCCATCGAAACGCGCGAGATTATCGAACGTATACGTTTGTAATTTCTTCGTGCAATTTTCCACGCTTAATCGAAGCGTAATTCTTTTATTCGGATTCAGATAAACCTGATAATATAGTATTCCATATCGTTCACCCTATGCTGACAAAATGATAAATGCGTTTCGTCACTTTTGAGAAACTGAGAGAATCTTTGTTCAAAATTTCAGAAAATAGTTATCGTCCGTCGTATTAATATGATACAATTTTTAGAGAGGCTGAAGACTTTTGCTGCAGATATTATTTGCATGCAAATCTTCGAAACTTCAGTAGAAAGTTATCTAGAGAGTGATGCCAAAATGATTTGCTTCTCGCGAGATATTTATTGTCGTTTCAAGGAGCCAAAACGATAGAAATTCGCCGCGGAAATTTTCGATTCTAAGCTATCGAATCGTCAAAAATTCTTCTCGCAACATGTAAAGGAAACTTACCTTAAAAATTTTAACCGTAGCCACTGTCAGTTCTAATTCGAGTCGAATCGAGAAACCAACGATACAGAAAGACAGCACACTCTAAAAATTATTGGTCCACAATTTTTTTCTTTTTCTATTCTCCGTTGATGTTTAATTTCAACAATGTCCTTCGTTTCAACAAATGGTTAATGCGCACTTAACTGACTGTATTTGACACGAACGTTATGCTACCGATAGCTTCCGTACGACTGAAGAGCGTAAATATTCGACTTGTTCTAACTTGTCGGTCTCTAGTATTTACATTCACGTGTTTGTATTTCTGGGAAATTGCGTGCCTTGGTAATAACATTATCGACACAATACACGTGTCCAAGGATACTGCTGTGACAATCTACGCGTTCTCTCTAGTTTACGATACATAATACAAGATGTTGAGGTCGGCGGCACATAACACTCATGACATGTGCTCCATATTCAGCGTGTCGTATTAAGAATTTCTAAAGGATTCTGATGAAATTTCGCATAAATGTAGTTCTTGAAAAAACTATTTGACACATAGTTTTTGGATGCTCAAGGGACGAAAACTATCCTTAAAGTTGGAGACGCAAAACCGATATTTTGTCAAATATCTCAGAAATTATTGAAAATACGATTTTTATGTAAATTAGTGCGACGAATTTAATGGTGCATACAATTTTGCGGAAAACCATTTGTTTAAACGATGCATTTAAAAAAAAGTCGTGTTTCTTTTTATAAGTTTTCCCAAGTAAATGTTGATATATTTTCCTGAACATTTGTTTATGAAAACTACACATTCAAACGCAAATTACGAATAAATTGAAATTTTGGTTTTTGTACTACAAAAATATTTCTTTCCAGAGAGCCCTGAGAGTGTATAGATCTCGAGTGAATTACAGCGAGTTATGATAGCGTGAGAATCCAACGAGAGTCGTAATATCTTTCGTCATCGCTGTATTGTTAATTTCCTAAATTAACAAACTTCATTTATATTTACTTTAAGTCATGTAGGTTAAAATTAATGTTGTTTTTATCTGCACTAGTTCTCTCAGAAAAAATCTAGAGCGTACTGTCTTTTTGTCATGGGAATGTATACTCCTTTATAATGAACGATGAACGTTCCTCTTCGAACTTGCAGCCGACAAACGCGGAGAAACGGTCGAAAGTTAGGGAGTAACTGTACTACGTTCCATTCTATATTTTATATATAGTTTCAATATTATAATTTTATTTACAATTTCATTTTTTCAGTTTTGTAATTTAAAAAGGGAAGAAAATTGATGAAGAAAATTCCTCTGGATATGAAAGAAATTTTAAGAAAATCATCGTGTATATCACTGCGCAGAAGTGTCTGACCATCACCATCCTTAACCACTTATTTCACTGTACATACACTCTTGCTCGAAAGTCCTGTACATTATACCTTTTATTTTTAATACTCAATATTCATCACGGATAAAAAGAATTGTTCAATTGTTGAAACATTTTAAACTGCTAAATACAATTGTAAACGAAATATATACCTCGTTGTATCTACATTTCTTCAATTTTGAAATAAGTGTAACTTAAACACCTCTGTTTAATTGATAATAATAAACAAGACAGTCTAAACAACACACCTCTATAATGAACGATGAATGTTCCTCTTCGAACTTGCGGCCGACAAACGCGGAGAAACGGTCGAAAGTTAGGGAGTAACTGTACTACATTCCATTCTATATTTTATATATAGTTTCAATATTATAATTTTATTTACAATTTCATTTTTTCATTTTTGAAATTTAAAAAGGGAAGAAAATTGACGAAGAAAATTCCTCTGGATATGAAAGAAATTTTAAGAAAATCATCGTGTATATGTGGCTACTACTCAGAAGTGTCTAACTATCACAATCCTTAACCACTTATTCCACGATTCTCAGTATATACAGAGTGTACATACACTCTTGCTCGAAAGTCCTACACGTTATACCTTTTATTTTTAATACTCAATATTCATCACGGATAAAAATTGTTCAATTGTTGAAATATTTTCAACTACTAAATACAATTGTAAACTGAAATTTATATCATCACGTTGTATCTACTAGGTAGATATTTCATTTTTTCAATTTTGAAATAAGTGTAGCTTAAACACCTCTGTTTAATTGACAATAACAAACAAGACAGTCTAAAATGAAATATGATGAACGATGAATATTCATCTTCGAACGTGCGACGGACAAAAGCGGAGAAACGGTCGAAAGTTAGGGAGTAACTGTACTACGTTCCATTCTATATTTTATATATAGTTTCAATATTATAATTTTATTTACAATTTCATTTTTTCATTTTTGAAATTTAAAAAGGGAAGAAAATTGACGAAGAAAATTCCTCTGGATATGAAAGAAATTTTAAGAAAATCATCGTGTATATGTGGCTACTACTCAGAAGTGTCTAACTATCACAATCCTTAACCACTTATTCCACGATTCTCAGTATATACAGAGTGTACATACACTCTTGCTCGAAAGTCCTACACGTTATACCTTTTATTTTTAATACTCAATATTCATCACGGATAAAAATTGTTCAATTATTGAAATATTTTCAACTACTAAATACAATTGTAAACTGAAATTTATATCATCACGTTGTATCTACTAGGTAGATATTTCATTTTTTCAATTTTGAAATAAGTGTAGCTTAAACACCTCTGTTTAATTGACAATAACAAACAAGACAGTATAAAAAGAAATATGATGAACGATGAATAGTCATCTTCGAAAACGTACGGCGAACAAACGCGGAGAAACGGTCGAAAGTTAGCATATTACGTAAATATATTTTCCATCTGGTGAGAAAGAGAGGGAAAACTGGGCCCGCATAATCGCGAACGAATTTCATCGATTTCGGTGACGAGGAGGTGAGCAAGGGGTTGGAAGTTGGAAACGAGCCGCGTCGTCGAACGCCAATACGATTGCCCTCGAATGTGCACTCGTCGCCATGACGGCAACGAGTTTCGAAACTCGGCGCGCTTATCGCGGCCCCGTAAAGGAGTACGCGGCTCGATCCTAAACTGCCGGGGCGAAACACAAGGGGTCAGGAAATCGAGCGGCCAGCGATGCTTGCCTGGCTCCGGAAGCATCCGGAGGATCTCGAGTGCCAGTTTATACCTTCCTGCTGGCATCGTGGCCCGTGTGTTGCTGTCTCCACCGGTGCACACGCCAATTTCGCCTGGTCGCGACGCGCCTCGCAAAGGAGATCGTTTCGTAGAAGGGGATGAACAGCTTTTGATTATTCGATCTCGAGCGTCTAGGTTTTCAGATAATGAAACGAACCTCTTTCGAAGAAGATGGACGACTCTCTGAGAGAGGAAAGGAGCAGAAAAGATGTATGGAAATGGTGTTTGGTATCGAAGAGTGGGAAAGAATTCAATAAAAGTGAGAAAAGAGATTGATTACGTAGAGGAATGATAATATTTTTTTGGACAGATAATTTTTAGATAATTGTTACTTTCGTATCGGCATTGTTAAAAATTTTGGCGTAAAAATTTTTGACATTCATATGCAACCAGAAAGATTAAACCCTAATTGGTTTTATGAGATCACACATAAGTGTGATAATTTGGATTTTGAAATTGAATTGATTTCACTTGATTGCGAAGGTTCTTTAATTTTAGAAGGCTCTGCGGTATTTTAAATAAAATAAAATTTATAAGATACTTTGACCTAAACTGTTGTAGAAGATTTACTATCAATATCAATGGAGAGTTAACATATAAGTAAATTAAATATTATATCTTCTCACCTTGATTTTCTAATTCTACGAACCTGCGTGCACACGGATTTTCAAAGAGAATTACGATCATTCGAGACAGCATTGAAACGTAACGAGAATGAAACCCAATTTCTCTCAGTCTAATTCCCAGAATTTATATAACTATACTATACTATACTAAACTACATGCTATCTTAATGGAGCAAAACCCACCGTCTCTCTTCTCCAACTACAATTATAATAATATTTTATTTTACTCTTGTTAGTCTTACAAAATCTTTGTCTGTCGATATTCGTATCGATCATTACCAATTGAAATGTTAAATGACGAATTAAATTTGTGGACAATGTATATAATATATTATGTATATAAATGTTTCTCTTTGTACATGTCAGTCAGTTAATATAAATTTGTTAATAGTTTCTCATTTCATTCTCTTTGACTTTAACTGTGTTCTTCGAGTGAACTTTCATCGATAAAAAGTTTCTAAATCCGTAGACAAAATAATCTCACACTTCAATTTTACACGTCAAAATTTTCACGAAACACGAACCTTTACGTTTATGTCGATTAAAATAATAATAAATCATAATTAAAATAATAAATCATAATTAGCGAAGCGTGAGAACTAACGCGGCCTGAAGCTCACTAATTTCTGCCGAAATTTGTTAAATTACTCAACGTGCTACGAAATTTCTTGGACCCTTGATTATCTAAATCTTAATCTCTAAATTATCTTTATCGATCAATATTTCAATATTCAATATCTTATGCATCATTCCCAACGAGGCGCGAAAAAATGCAACAACGAAAGCACCGAGAAGCAACGCGACGAAGCTCGCTAACAATAAATCCTACCAAACTAAAATCTCCCTGAAATTCATTGAAATTTATTACTCGATACACGCTACGAAGTTTCCATCTTGAAACTTCTCTGAATTACCAGTTACCGGAAACTACGACACCTCGTTGGAAATGGCAAGCCCCCCGCCATCGCCAAGAGTGCAAAGCTGAATTTTCTCTTCTTTTTTCGCTGATCCCGCGAGCAAATTGAACTCCCCTTTCGACGAAATCCGTGGAAAGGAATATAGGTTAACGGGAAGGCGGCGAAAGACGACGTTCGCGCAAGGTCGCGCTTTAGACGCGAATAATTGCACGACAGGAATTCACGGTACACGCGTTCCACACCGCGTTAATCGATCAAGTTTACCGAGAGGAAATTAACCTGGACTCGTTCGAATCCAGCTTGATTTGCACACTGTCACAGGGATTAGGCGAGACTGTAGATATTTGGGCATTTTCAAATTTTTACGAACAAAACTGAAGAAAATTTAACAATAACAATGTTGATAAATTATTGGCTTCTTTTTTCTAGGAATTCTTCCCTCGGAAGACACTCTAAGGGATCATATTGTATTATAATAATTCAGTATTTAAATATTTGTGAAGATAGCAAACGAAGATTAAGTCTGACGGTATTTTCTTTCTATAATTTTTAGCTTTAATTATTATAAGTGTAATTCTTCAGAATAATTTTCACTCGTAATTGTAATTACACAGAGTGATTTTATTACAATAAAAAATTTTGTTTCTTATAGATTAATAAAGATACTATATTTCATTCTGTATTTTATTATAGTTTCAATATTATAATTTTATTTATAATTTCATTTTTTTACCTTTGAGATTTAAAAAGGGACGAAAAAAATTCCTCTGAATATGAAAGAAATTTTAAGAAAATCATCGTGTATATCACTGCGCGGAAGTGTCTGACCATCACCATCCTTAACCACTTATTCCACGATTCTCAGTATACAGAGTCCTACACGTTATACGTTTTATTTTTAATACTCAATATTCGTCACGGCTAAAATAAATTGTTCAATTGTTGAAACATTTTAAATTGCTAAATACAATGTAAACGCAATTTATACCTCGTTGTATCTACTAGGTAGTATTTCATTTTCTCAATTTTGAAATAAGTGTAGCTTGAACATCTCTATTTAATTGATAATAACAAACGAGACAGTCTAGAAAGGAAGCATACGACTTCAAATTTATTGCTATTGATTTATTCAGGTTGTTTGCAACTTCGTAGCTGAGAATCGATATTAAGTTCTGCCGTGTATTTAGCGAGATTGGCAGGGAATTATTTATTATGAATAACCGTCGAATAATACAAATTAAATACAAATTAATTCGAATAAATATTGCTCCTGCATTAAATGCAATCAAATACAATCGAGAGAAGCAAAGGTATCGTTTGCGAATAAATATTTCGCGCACACGTTCGCGAAAAATAAGTTAAAGCCTGAAAAAAAAGTTAAACCCTTGTTTACTCATTCACACAGTTAATCACTTCTTTTCGTTTTGATAGACTTCAAATTATATGAAAAATCAGAAATTCTTCTTTTAAAAAAATTCATGATCTAAAAATGAAAAATCAGAAGCTAAAAGGTGCCGTGGTTTTTAAGATGATTTGACATTAAAAAGTTAGAGTCCATACACTGTTTATAACAAAATAATGAATTCTAATAATATTGTACCGCATTATATCGAGCAACCCACGCTTCACTTTTATTTCGAAATTATACTGAAAAGCTCGGGAGAAGTTTGAAAGTTCATGAAAGTGAACAGAAATTTAACAATTCTTAATGTAACATATTCACGCATCAGTTTAAACACTCGACCCAAGTGGACAAGTGTGTGAAATATTTAAAAGATGAAAACAGGCCGATTTGCGCATCGTTTTTGCGCGATTGATCTGTAAAGTAATTTGAATTTCGTACGTTTAAAATAATTAGTATTATTGAATATTAACAATAATAAAACGTATTAATTAAAATAAATAGAAATAAATAAAAACATTTGAAGGACGCGCAACAATTTCAATAGCAACGAAAGTGATGAACTAAATTAAATGAACTAATCAAATCACTCGCAATCTTTATGTCGTAATGCGATATTACTCGTCACTCTGTCGAATCGGAAAAGCATTTGAAAATTTTCGTCGCTCGCTTGAAAACCGAATCGGTAATGTTATTAACAACCAGAAACTCTGATAGCTACAATCGCTCGTTGAATTCCTATTCGAATCAATCACCCGTGACAAAAGAATGGCCCGAATGATCGCCCTGTGAAATTGCTCGATACCCGCGGCAGGTGCTACACGCGCACATCCGCGCCGCGCGTTCTAAACCGACAAGCTTTTTCCATCGCGTCAACCGACAGTCTAGCAAATCACGCGGCCATCGCGCGCGCTGCTTAGCATACAATCAACAATCAGCCGCACACACAAGGAACACCGTGGATTTTCACGCGCGTTAACCGCGCCGTTCCGAGTCGTTCCGTTATTCGCGCGGATAGCTCGCGAGCGGCACGCACGTTGATCGTATGCATACGAAAGGAGCGTGATGTTTCAATTAAATTGCACGTTCCATCGGCGACGATCTCGCCGCGTGTTCGCGAACATGCACACCGCGATGTCACGCAAGTGTCGCGCACGAGCGTTACGCTACGCGAGATACGGCAAGATGTATCGCGTCGTTGCATCTCGCAAGACGATTCAACGTGAAGGTCAGCGCGTGCGTCGATTCTTTTTAGAATCAGTTCGCCAGAGAACGCCATTCAAGAATTTGTCGCACCTCGTTGACAAACTGTGTTCAATCTTGGGATGGGGAACTTATCGGCGAGAGAATATCTTTGGAATAATGTACGTTTGCAAGGAAGAGATTCGTTCCTCTCTGTAAGAGAGGATGAAATGATTAAGGACGAGTGATTAAATATTCTTGCAATGAGAAAGTAGTCAACGGCGAGGTGGATTCGACGTGTTCTCTCGCGAACAAAATATTACGTTCGAGCTAACCAGGAAATTTGAACCACCACTATTTTGTACGGAACACTTATTTTAAATTGCTACCGGCATCTAGATAAACCACCAAGCACCTGCTACATGAACACAGAAAATACCGAAACATAAGAAGTAAATGCGGATTAAACCAAAACACCGCTCTAACCTGCCAGAAACAACAAAAAAACGTTATCAACTACCTAAAGGAGATCCAACTACTAGACCAGGTATAAAGAGACAATTTCAACACGTCGCTAAAGACCTCGTAGTCGATGCGACGCTAAATCCCCATATCAAATATATATATATATATATATTACGTAGATATAGGTGTATATACATTGGCAAAAATAATAATACTTGCTTCGAGCAGCAAGTGCGAAGTAACTTTAGTTGTCTGGAAGAACGAAAGTATGAGGGTGTACGACAATAATTTTTCACTCACTTTAGTTTGGTGAAAACCCTCGAATCCACCCTGTTTCTTACCTGAAACGGAAGAAACACATATATTAGAACTAATTTAGAAAATAATACTAAATTAAAATTTAATTATCAATTAATTCAATTTAATAACTGCTTAATTATTCAATCAACACAATTAATAATTATTCGATCAGTCTAAAATTCTAGAGCAGCTGCATTTCCTCCCGAAAATGAAATATCCAACGCCTGACGACACGCACGATCGACGAGATCTTTCATAAGCGGATGCAAGACGCGGCCGCGGATACTTCCGTGGGAGGAAGATCGATAGGAGAGTCGGTCGTCGTGGGATTTAAAGCCACCCCGGTAATTGATTTCCTGCCGGTGGTCGCTAGAATTCCAGGCTGCACGCGCCCTTTACCCTTTCGACTGGCCTACGCGCGCCTGGGCGTGGCGGCGATGCCTCGGAGAAAATCCCGCGAAAGATCTAACCCTTCCCTCCTCGTCGAAGGTCAAATCCGTGGCTTCGTCCGCTTCGTCCGTCCTCGCGACGAAGACAATCACGCGTTTGCAACTTCCCGCCGGCTAGCTGCCGCCGAATGGAACACCCCGGCGATATCGATCAGGCCACAAGTACCCGGTGTACTGAACTTTGACATTTGACAGGAACCCGGCAGGGAAACCGGGTTGCATGCACACCTCCCTTCTGCCAGTTTCGTTTCGTACCGGGATATTTAGATTTAGGTGGCGACTGTGGCGGAGAATGGAGGCGGAACAGGTCGCGAAGGTCGCCGCTGATTTCCCACCGATACATACGAAATTCTGTAATAAATATTTTCGAATCGTCTGGTGGAACAGCCTCACTACTCTGTGTGATACATCTTTATGTGTCCGTAGCTCGAGGCTAGCTATACAATATTCATACGATATTGTATTGAGTGTATTGTATCGCGAGAAATATTCAAACGTTACCATAGAGGAATTTCTATGTGCATGTTACATATGTTTTTGTGAGAGACCGATTTGTAAACTTATACAGGTGATAAACGATATTTCTTGTAAACGTACATTTAACGAAAGATCGACATCGATTTTGAATAGTTATTCGAAGCACGTGAGCATTAAATGAGCAACTGACTGTGTAAACATTTTTTTCCTGATTTCTATGAAGCACACAAAGTTTCATAACTGATATATATATATATTTTTTTTTTTTAAATTTGTTTCAAATACCATAATCGAGCCTTGTTACTAAGTTAATGGAAAAGAAGGAATGAAAAGTTCCCGTAAATGTTGCGCGAGTAACTGCAGCGTGCCAAATTTTCCATTTTACATTTAACACCTTCTTTCAGCTATCAACGTTTCACTCGTTACAGTTACACAAATCACTCTGTGATACATTGACTGACGTTGGACATTAGAAGAAGTCAAATATATCTATCAAGAGACCAATGTCAGTCGTAAAAATATCCAAGTACACGACACTCCACCGTCGCGTCGGCTGCTTAAATTGCAGGCTCTAAAACTCTGCCAATAACTTGCTAAAACTTCGGTACGCCGTGGTAAACAGTGTTCTCAGCGGAGATGCCGCTAGAAGACGGCCAAGTTCTGGGAGCCATAAAACGTAATTGGTAATAGAGACGGAAGCAGTTACGACGATAACTGGATTCTCCTCGGTTGATCGACGAAAGAGAGAGAGAGAGAGAGATTCTGGCTGTTTTCGGCCAGACGCAAAGTTCCCCAACGAAATAGCCATTAAGCCCAGCCAAACGACGGAGGGACGCGGACGGTTTTTGGGTCAAGGTTTCGACAGTCACCCTCGTCGAGAACGCCTTTGTCCACCCTCGTCAAGGTGATTCGCCCAGTCGTTCGCTGAATCAGGTTGATTCCCGGTTTCCGTTTATCGACAGGCCGCGCCGCGCCGCGCCGATTGTCGCCGACATTCTATAATTAGGTACGCGCGTTAATTAGACGAGCGTATTCCGGTGAAAGTGGGACTGTCCGCTTGTCGCGGTTTCGCTGCAAGTTTACCTCCCTTTGCCCAGACAAAGTTGAAGTTTCGTTGCTCTATAGGGGAGAGAAAGAGAGAATGTTGCTTTATGCTCGTTTGATCGATCGACCGACGTCAGAGCGGACTTGCACTCCGATTCAGCGGCTCTGTCGTCAAACCAAGATGCGACGATGATTGAAAAACGACGTTCGGGCAACGGTGAGCAGTTTATCCAACGGTGCGTGATTGTTTCGTTTCAGGAAGAAATTCGATTGTTGGATTCGCGGATTTTGAGAATGTGAAAATGGATTCGAAAAGGAGCAGCGCCATAATTTTTTCAAGAACGTAAGAAGCCTTAGAGCCGTTTGTCTGCTTCGTCAGAGACAAAATTACGATAGTCGTGTATCACTGACTCGTGACGGTTTTCGTCAAGCATAAAGTCGAGTAATTTGCCGAGATGGTCGGCGAAGCAAGCCAAGTCCTGGTCGGATTAAGCCGTAGAAAGGGTCGACGCAGGGTCGTTTCATTCCGCGCGTCGTTTGAAAGAAAGAGCGAGTGTAGGAGAAACGAGCGAGCGAGCGGCAAGCGGAAACGAGGCAAGGCAATGTAACGGCCCCGATCTTGGCTGACTGGCAAGGACGAGGTCGCGAACGCGGCCTAATCGTGTCCGTACTCGTGGATGTATACTCTCTCTCTCTCTTTCATAGTTGGCACTGGACTCTGCAAAAGGGGGTTGTATGCAGCTGCAGAGTGCAGGCGCACCCCCGGGCCGTTCGCATTATATAGATAATACTCGGAACGCGCGAGGCGTCGCGCTTGGCGAGGGGCTGAAGAGACGAGCGGTAGCGGAACGCAGCGACGGAGCAAGGCGAAACGGAGGGAAAGAGAGGAACGAGCGTGGAAAATACGTACAGGGAGCGCGAGAGATCCGAAAAAGAGAGAGAGAGAGAGAGGGGGGGAGAGGAAAACAGAAAAGAGTGGGTGGTTACTGGTGCCGGGTCGCGAAACGGGCCGTACGGAGGGGCGAGGGGAAGGTAGCGAGAAGGATTCGCTTCCGTGTCCCAGTAGCACTAATGACCGCCATCCTCCCCTCCTTCCGTTAACTGTTCCCCTACCACTGCGCCCTTGCACTCTTTCCCCTCCAAAGTATGTACATTCCCCACTCCTGCCGCTCAGTGCCACCGTTGCCTCCCCTCCGTCTCCCCACCAGCGTACGACACGTACATCCAGGATGACTCGAGTTACGTCATAGCGCCTAGAGCGTGCGCCTTCCTCCTTCCCCTCCGCTCATTCCACGCCGCCCCTACCTCGGTCACGCTCTTCCTCCCCCTCCGACGGATCTCGGCGATTCTCCCTCCTCCCCCTCCAACGCCATCGCCACATCCCTCCCCATCTCGTAGAAACGTCGCGCTTCCCCGACCGTCCCGTTCGACCCCTCCACGCGCTGATTCGCGTTGAGAATCCAGCAGCGCGGCGTACGTATACACACGCTACGAGGCACGCTATATGTCGTTTCTACTATAGCGGCCAGCACTCGGCGAGACCGTGAGGGTCCCGGCAGTCTCCGCTGGTACACCGAGCTGTGTGTTACCCGTTCCTCTCGCTTGTTGTATCACGTTCTCGCCCCGTAATCGACGCGCGTCCCCATCTGACAGACCCTCTGGTTCGCGGCGGCACGTCGTCGTTCACACACGCGTACACCCTGTATACGTATACACACACACACACACACACACATACACACAGACACACACACACAAACTTACGTCTATGTGTATATATATATATGTAGGAGTAGAGAGAGATAGAGGGAGATAGAGAGAGAGAGAGAGAGAGAGAGAGAGAGAGAGAGAGAGAAAGGGAGAGATATATACACTGGTGACCCAGCAGCATACACAACAACCCTCTCGACACGCACACGCGAACAACAACGTTGTCAACCGAGTGTGTCCGTGCACACTCCATCCGCCGGCACACGCAACCTCGCGCGCATACGGGCCAACGTAACATCCTACGGAAGGATATAAAGGAGGAAAAGTCCGACGCGGGTGTTCGAGCAGTGTTCGAGGATCAAACCGAATCGAATCGTACTCGGGCCGTGCACGGTTCAATCGGGGCCACGAGCGATTTTCGCGACTCTCGAGTGAAAAAAGAAGGAAAGAAAAGAAAGAAAGGAAAGAAAGGATACGCCACGCGAGCAAGAGATACAAGAGATACACACGGCGAGGCCCAGGTGCGAACGGGGGCTCCTTCCTTCGATTAGTCGTCCAGGAATAACACGTGCAGGTGTGTATCCGAACGCGGGCACGTGCACGGTGCACGCTACATACTCGCTGCGTGTGTGTGTGTGTGTGTGTGTGTGTGTGTGTGTGTGTGCGTTTACGTGTATTTGGCTGATTTAGGCGAAGAAGCTAGCACGACAGGTAGGCATGGGCGAGGAATCAAAGGGAACGAGTCTCAAATTGGAATTTCTAATTGCCTTAGGTCTAATTGTCTCGTTCGTTTCGACAATTTATGTACAATCGATGCGCAACGTATCAAGTTTGCAAGTGTTTGTTGTTGTTCGTTCGGGCGATCGATCGGTTCCCCGATCGGTGATTCAATCTTCCGCAGTGGTGTCTTCCTTCAGTTTCGAAGACACGTAACGAAGGTTCGTCGATTCATGATAATCAAAGTCGTAGACGCGGCGAGTGAGTGCGCCTCTTTAAAGACGTGGGTTGCACGCTACTCCCGCGCGAGTACACGTTGAAAGAGATCGTTGCGTAAGCGTCGGGGTTGAACCCGCGGCGTGAAACCGGAAGTGGCCGGTTTCGAGGCCAAACAGAACCGAGAATTACACGATGAAAATCTAGCGAAGCCGTGATTAGAGCGGACAGAAATTTCGCGGAAGTTCCTTTCGTTACACGCGGTGACTCTCACAGTTCTGTTGTCGATCTTTCGTATTTGCCGCGTATCGGAAGGAATATTTTGTTCTTTGTAACGTGGTTCGTCTTCTCCACGTTACTCGGTCTTCTTTCTTCTCGTTTGTCGTTCAATTCAATCGTTCCAGATTTCTCTAACACGTGAGATTTCTCTAGTTCTGAAGTTGAGGTATTCATAGCTCGTATATTTTTACGACAAAATGATTACGTAGGTAGCCGGAGTAATCATTGATTTCGTACGAATGCTCTCGTCTAATCACACACCTCACACAATCGAATGAATTCCATGAATGAATTAGAACCCGAATTATTCGTCAAAAGAGAAAATCAGGATTTGAACGTACTAGAGTAGAGAAACTTTCGAGTTGAGTTCAACTATTTGTTTACTATTATACTTCTTCGTTTCGAGGAATTCCTTATTCCTTGCACAGAAGTAACAACATGCCTCTCGCCAAGTCACTTTGTGTTAACACAAAGCACGAAAAGCCAAAAACATACAACAGTTATCATCTCAGAATTAATCAAACCATTTCCCACATTGTACCATCGTTGAACTCTCGTTGTCAGAGTAGGATCTACACAAACACTCGACGTAACAGTTGTTTGGCATGCAAGATGTCCGTCACGGAGGCTTGGCGAAAATTATTTACGCGGTCGTTCGGCTTCCATGGGGAAGAAAAGCAAACGGGGGGAGAAATTTTCCATCGTTGTACGCATCTCGCCCTTTTCGCATTAAGCGGCTCGTAAATATTGACTTACGATCGAGTAGGCGTGAAGATCGGTTCGTCATTTGTGCTCCACGAGTGGCTCCGGTTGACAGCTGTAATTTGTATCGTGTGCTGTGTACGTATGTACATTGTTCGTACAGTAAACCGTTCCTCGATGCTGGCATAACAGCGCGGCTTTAAATCGACGTGCGCCGCGTAACTTTATTGATAAAAAGGGCTACGTACGTATGTATACGTACGTGTGTATACGCGACGCGATTACGTGTACAGCCGAATGCACTCTTTTTTTCTTCTTCTTCTTCTTCGTATTATCTCGTCTTTTCCTCTTACTTGTATCTCGAGTTTCGAACTCGAGTGGAGATTGATTAAGGGCAATTCGTACATAGAGTATTACATAATTTCGGTGAAAACGTGGTGATAAAAATGCTTGTGGAAACGACAAGGTTCTTTTATGACATTGATGGATTTCCTACAGAATTAGGTATTCCGTAATTCTGACGTGATTCTCTAATTATGAATCTTTATGACACTAAAGAATCCATTGAATTACACGCTTATAGTTCCGACGTGATTTTCTGGTTATAGATTTTACGACACCAAAGAATCCACTGAATTGTATGCTTCTAATTCTGATATCATTCTCTGGTACTTTGTGGTATCAAAGGATCTGCAGAATTAAATATCCGATGAATTTTACGTGACCTTTTGATTATGAATTTCATGGCAGAATTAAATACTCGCAAGTCTGACATGATTCTCTGATTGTGAGTTTTATGATCGCGAGGGACTCGTAGAATTAAATATTTGCAATTCTGATATAATTTCCTGGATATGAATTTTATAATTCGTCGCAGTATTTACGGAATTAAACATTTGTGAATTTTACGATACTGAAAGATTCGTAGAATTAAATACTCATAACTCTCTGGCAGAATTTTCTCATTGAATGAATTTTATAAAAAAATTCTACTTTTCCTCGATCACTTGTTGGTGCTAGCAGATGTTTTCATCGATAGGAAAATAAGAAATTAATTAATTATCGAGCTACTGAATTAAAAGCAACGTTTACCTGAAAAAAAAAAGAGAACGAAATTCCATTCTGCAGCAAATCCTCCGTCTACGTACGTGTCCCAAACACAAACGATTTCGAAACAGATGTGGATACTCGATAGATCCCCCTCCTTCTGTCTTACGAAACGAGCCACGAATTTTGCAACGAGGTCTGAAACGAACCTACCACAATGCTCGGCGGTTGGGCATCGTAATCATCCATCACGCCGATTCGAGCGGCTTTCAACACTAATTGCGTTATCGTCCATCTCATCCCTCGACCGCCATTTATTATACCGCGCGACCACAGTGGATACACGGTCTTTATTCTCATTCGGAGAACAGTAAGTTCTTTGGTTGTCTTTGCTCCGAAACTTGGTGCAGGAATTCGATTCGACAAAGATTCGGTGTTACACGACGACAGCTGTCGTAACTTGGTCCAGATTTCAGCTCTCGTTTACCAATAGGCAGTCTCGCTAAATCCATTTGCATCATGATTCAAATTGCGCGACGAGTTAGTATGTTCGAAACTGAATATGATTGACCATCTATCTATATAAAATAGTCTATCAAATCATCATTCGATCAACTATATTATTTTCTATGAATATTGACTAATGTGTCATCATCAAAACGAAACGATAAAATTTACATGTCTGTACGAGGAATTTTTAATAATCTTATTAAGAAAATGTTTGCTTCTGTTAAATATATTATTCTATTCCACAAGAATATGAATTGTCCAGCAGCAATTAAACTTAAAAACTCTCCTCGCATTGATAAATACAAAATTTCAATTAAATCAAAATGAATAATGAATAAATAAACGTAACGGATGCAAAATTTTCGTTTCGCCATTAGATTATTCCCACAAAGCAGACGCGATTATTCCACTTTGTAATACAAATGGGTCGAATGATACGTACATATAATGAGCCGCGTGTACGATTTCGCGAACGTTCGATTTCGAATCGAGAGGAATCGGTATCGCGATCGACCGGATCGATAGCCGAATCGAGTGGAACCAGCCAGCGAGCGAGCCAGTTGCGAAACGAAAAAGGAAAGTTCGATCCTCGTTTGCATCTTTCGGCGGGAGAATGCAATCTACCGGCGTGGATCGGCGATCGAGGACCGCCAATTAAGTTTGCAAAACGGCTCGCGTGTGTTCCGCTGTCTCGTCTGATTGCGTTTCGTGAAAGGGACAGGCCGGTCGCGATCTCTCCGTTAGTGTCGATTATTCATCCCCTGGGATTTATGGCTGGGTAATTTCGCTGCCATGCGTTTTAACGAAATTGGAAATCAAAAATCGAGACGAAAGTTATCGGTGAGGCTCGAGACTCGCGAAGGCGCGAGATTGCTTTCGAGTACAAATTTTGATATGATTTGCAATTGAATTGAAGAATCTAACGAACTGTGAATGTTACAAATCCTTGATTCTTGCGGCTTTGATCTTTCGATAGTATAATATCGCGAGTTTACTCGTTGTACGATACTGAGACGAAAGTTATGGGTGGCGAGGCTTGAGACTCGCGAAGGCACGAAATTGTTTTCGAGAGGGGGACAGATTTTGAGGACAAATTTTTGAAATAATTTGTGAAAGTTGCAAGTCCTCAATTTCTGACTTTTTGTAGATGTTGAGCAAACAGTTCTTTCCAACTATCACGAACTTCTACTAATTGCAAGATACGTAGCCTGTGAAAAATTCAAAGGTGCAAAAATATCCAAAAATGTCAAGTTTGATGGAAACAATCTTTTACCAAGATCTAGAATTTTCTAATTATCTTCACGGAAATATGAAACTGCAAAAAAGTTCTCGTCCACACTTTCAGCTCGTTCGCACATTTAAGACCAGCAACGTTGCAAACTTGCAAATGGCAGTGATTTGCAGAAACTTTTAATGCCATTTTAATTTCCTTTTTGCCTTTTCAATCATGGCAATAGCGGGGCGTTCTCTATTCTTTTACGGCGGATACGTAAGAACGAAGAAATGGCAGAAGCCTTCTTGGTTGAAAACGCAGAATTCTTCTCGAGGCATTAGTAACCATGGCGACCATTTAACTTCCGTAATTTTCTGTTTATTACTCGCTGAGTTATTACGTTATCAAGACGGGGATACGGTGCATTATTTAACACGTCCACGTGCAGCATTTAAATAGGGGATTTAAATGCTTGCCTCGTTTCGGGAGCACGGCCGCGTTTCAAGCACTCTGATCACGACGCCAGTTGCAAAGGATAATGTGAAATGCGATTAAATTCAAGTGAATACGTATATATATATGTGTGTGTGTGTGTGTGTGTGTGTGTGTGTTTATCTGCGGCGCGAATGCGATTTGTGCAACAATTGAAATCACGATACTGACGGCAATTTGTGTGAGACAGCTTCGTTAAAGATCGATATAGATTGAGTTGAATATTATATTATCTGTTCAAGTATTTTTTTGTGAATTCATACGACGTGACGTTACATGAACGTGTGTGTGTATTTATCTGGTATTAATAAACTTACATTTATCTCATAAATAGAATCGTATTGTGAAAAAAATGATAAGAATTGTCTCTGAGCTTACGATTTTTAGTATAAATTAATCTGAAGTGATCGATAAAAATGATCAGATTCCTCTACGTACGTACGTATACATATGAATTTCGAATTTTCCAAACGAGTGACATTTATAGATGGTAACTAAAATTCGGAGAAACTATAGAGAGACTGCATATCTGTAGCAACAACAAAAAAAAAAAAAAAAAAAAAAAAAAGGAAACACGAATAATGTGAGCGTCAAAGAATAATGATTCGTACTCATACAATCACCGAATTCGACAACTTCTCAAAGTACGGTTTAACTTTCAATTCAATTAAGTGAATCGACGCGATTCAGAATGTCAATTTCATTTGATCGTTCGAATTGAACAATCGCGAGGCTATAAAATTACCTTGGAGCTTTCGAGACCCCCAACAAACAAACAGACAAACAAATAGAGAAATTTCGCGGTGGAGATCAATTGGAGATCTCGTAAATCATCGTGGCGGGCGCGCAATGCGGCGAAATTAATTAATAACCGCTGGCAAATTAATTACCGCTGGCGGCCGAATAAAACAGAGAAGAAAGTTGGCGGCTCGGCTCGGGTCGGCGGACGGCGAACAAAAGGGAAGCGTCGCGACGTCGTCGTTAATCGTCTTCGGGATAATTACGCGATTCAGCCGTTGAATTTTTGCGGGCACGCAGCCCTTGCCCCGAAAGCTCGTTGTCGCCGCGCGAAAACCGTGATTTCAATTCCACCGCCGAGTATTTTTCTCTTTTCTTTTCTCTCTCTCTCTCTCTCTCTCTCTCTCTCTCTCTCTCTCTTTCTCTCTGTGTCGCCACGCTTTTGCGATTCTCGCTGCCGGATTTTTGCATATCAAAGGCCATGCGAACGCCTCGACCAATTACGCCCCGCGCGTGAATTACGCATCGTTCATAGAAACTTCCAGTTTTTGATCTTCGCGACGATGTCTCGAACGAATCCTGGAAGCTTCAGATTCTGTATCTCGAATTGCCTAACAAGAGAATTCTGCAACAATTTTAATTTCACGACGAACAAGATTTTCATTTGTTTAATTTTGTTTGAGTTTGTTTTCCTCCCTCATTTTCCTTTCCGAACATTTTTGGTTAAGGTGTTCTTTGTCAAAATGACGTTCTGTCGCGAAAATGTGTCAAAGATATTAAATTTTCGAGAAATAAATGTAATGTTTTGCTGTCGTAGTTTGAGCGAAAATTCATATTACACGTTACACGTTCGAGTTCCATTGTTTTTGGATAATTGGAGACTGCAAAGAATGGAAGACGAAATGGTGTTTAAGAGTAGCAAGGTCAAATCGTTTAACTTCAAAGCCAATTGCGCAGATAGGTGACAAATGATATCGAAATGACTTTGCAACGGGTCTTTAATTATCAATACATTTTCTATTACCTCTGTTTACTCAATAAAGAAGTTGGCTGTAATATACTGATGGATAAAAATTTGTTAATAATTATCCTCAAGTAATAATTCGATAAGAATGTTTTTGCTTTCCTTATCGTTTCATTTTCTTAGAAGTTCTATGTTCCCTTCGCATTAATGTGATCATACGAATTATAGTGAAACACGAGGTAGAAAATTTTTATGAAAATACAGACGTACGTGTGTTGAAAAATTCCGACGAGACCGAAAATAAAATAGGCAGACGAACGTTTGTAAACGCAGAATTTCGCTGAAAGCAAAATTTGGCATGAAATTTACTATTTCGACATTCGCTCCACGTAGATACGTTTATTCTGTGAAAGGTTCTCGAATTTTTACGATCTTGCGCCAACAGGCAAACAAACTTTCAAATTCGACTAACAAAAAGAGCATAAAATTATTAAAATTGCATTTAAAGAAAGAAATGACATCAAACTCTTGACATACTAAAATGTACCGACAAGCATGAAATTCAACATAAGGTAGTATGAATATAAGACATTAGGCAAAAGAAATATATTCACCTAAAATGTTTATCAGAAACATGTCTTATTGAAAATAATTTTAAGTCAATCTGCCCGACGAATAAATTAAATGGCTGCAGTATAACTGACTGTACAAAGGTAGCATAATCAATTGATTTTTAAATGAAATCTAGAATGAAAGGATTAATGAAATATATATACTGTCTCATATTTATTTTATGACTTTAAAATTTTATAAAAAAATGTTAAAATTTTTTTATGGGGCGATAAAACCCTATAGAATTTTATATTAATTTAATTTTATAGTTAAATATAAAGTTAATTAAATTTAACATTTAACTGGGAGAATCATTGAATTTAATAAATTTTAATTAATAGATAACCTTTAATTTAAGAAAATACTTTGATTTTTAATCGATAATTATTAGATTAAATTGCCTTAGGGATAACAACGTTATATTTTTTTTATAGATCTTATAGAAAAAAAATGATTGCGACCTCGGTGTTGAATTAAGATAAATTTTAAATGTAGAAGTTTAATAATTAAGTCTGTCGGACTTTTAAAAGGATATTCAAATCACACTCGTGCGTATGAAAAAATTACTCGCACGCGTGCGACATATATTCCTTTGTCTCGAAAAATTATTTAAAGCAAAGGCGAGAGCTGGAACACAGAGTGAAAATAAATGAAAAAATAGAATAAAAAAACTATTTAGGAAGAAAAAAAATTGCACCAATTGCACCTGGGATTTGAAAAATTATTTAATAACGAGAATACGACTGGAATGATCTAGAGAATGAGGCAAATTTTGGATGCATGATCTCTCGAGCAACTCGCCAGTCGTTTGTTACGCATTTGTTGCACAGGCTTACGTAATGTCGCACGTGCTGCTAGTACATTCTCGTCATTATTGCGTTGTTCGTAATTCCGATCGGTAAACTGAATACCGCCTACGTCATCTAATAACGCGCGCGGCTCCTCTATCGCGATAATTACGAGCAGCGTGATAATCAACAAGAAAGTCGCATTTGAAAGACTGTTCTGCGTTAATAATCGCCCGACATGTTATACTACTTGTTACGCTTATCTGTCGTAATGCGTCACAGCCACGTTAATTATTAGAACGATCGAGCTTTGATTCCGCGCCATATTTCTGCAGCGTATCACCAGCGACATTAAACACAGTTCTACCGAATTTGCGTTCGAAATATTTTTTAAGACACGAAATAACTTTTCTAGATCGTGGTCCAGAGTTGTAAGAAGTATAAATCGGAGAAACTCGACTTCTGATTTCCCAAACCTTTTCCTGGATTCTTGTTAAATCTCGATTTGAAATGTCACGAAAATATTCGAGACTGCAAAAGAATCAGAATTTTATTGAAACTTTACGTTTGATACTTTGTTGGTAGGTATGAATTTTTGAAATATTTAAACTTGGACTCTCGGTCGAATTTTCACTCTAAAATCCGCGCAATGTCCACGCTTGAGCCTCGAGATTTGCAATTGATTTGGAAGCTTGATAAAATCGCGACAGTTCGCAGAATTTAATAGACTTCCGAGCGCGATAAAAATCGATAAAATCTGAATGCGCGAGAGCGTAGAAACGGTACAAGTAGGAAATCAATCAGTGTCGGTTTTCTTATCAGTTAAAGAATTTATCAAGATACAACTTGGAGAACATTGCCGATGAAATAATGGAAAATAACGTAACAAAAAGTGAGAGAAGTGGAATCTTTCAATCGCGTCAAAGTTAATGTTGAAACTAAATTTCTTGCATCAGAAATTTAAAAAAATATATAACGTAAAGAAGAGAGAATTTAATTCATACAATTGGAGCTCACTGATTCCTTTCTACCAGAGAAGTCTCGCGTTCGTGCAGTGGGAGTTTAGATTTAAATAAGCGGAGCTTAAATTTCATTCGATCCGACGTTGACTGACATTTGATCCAAATAAATTATACTGTACATGTACAATAATATATATTCCAATAAAAAATATGTAGCATAGAACTTATCTTGCATTTTCAAAATTTGAGCGATCAAACACGTGTACATGTAATTTAGGAAAATGCAAAGAAGGAAATGTTTCGTTTCCAATTATTGTTTATCGTTCGCGTGAAAATGGCGGAAGTCACGGTGCAGGGCGATGCAATTAAACGCGTTCCAGTTGAAGTTTGCACTCGTTTCTGCAACGTTTTCCCCATATCAAGATAATAAGCGGCTATTAGCGGCGTTAATTATCAGCTTTATCACGAAATTTATCTCTTCAAGGTTGACCACATCGGTGTCCATTAGTGGAATATTAGCGCGAGTGATCTGCATCACGCGTTATCCTTCGTCTCGGTCATTCATTTTTGTAACAGCAGAACGAATCGTGCCTTAATCTCGTGGTCAACTCACTACAATTTATTTTCTCCTCCAAACGTATTTCTTCGCTGCTCAGTTTGTCACGCAAAATTCGTTTCAACGCGCGAGATTCAGTCAGACAACAGAGGAAAATAGATCCACGATTAATAAATGAAATTGTTCTTCTAATTCTAATCTGTCCTTCTTCCTCGAACGTGTGAATTTTTCATGGAAGTCCACGTAGACCAACGTTGTTAATAAACAGTCCATTTCAATCGTTCGCGAGGACATTGCTTCTTAAGTAAATAATTTATACGTCCCTGAGATTCTTTGAATAGTAGCTGAATTAGAAAATGTGCCTGAGCGGCTGTGCTTTTCTCATCGCGAGTTCGTAACGCTGCCGACGATATGCTCATCGCGCGTTCAAGTACGCGGCAATGGATCGAAAACAGCTCGTTCCCTATAATTGCACGGCAAACACTGGTTAATTACCTAGTCGACTGGCTTTTAAAACATGGTTACATAATGCAAACGCGTTCGGTATCCGTTATTCGTTCATCCAGCTCGCGGGGTCTCGTATTTTCGATGAAAGAGAAAACGAAAGGAAAAACGCGAGCGTTTGCAAATAACGGCGAGCGTATCCCCATCGGAGATATCAGTTCGCGTGATTCTGTGCAACACTCGCTTTCCTTTTCCTCTTTTAGCATTTTCCGAAAATCTTTTTAACATTTCCGGTTGCAATCAACGTGTGCGCTGACGCGCGAAAAGTCTTACTGAGGATAAATTAATAATAATGAAGTTTATCGTATATGATGAACACGAATTTTGTAAATGAATGAAATTAAAAAAAAAGAAGAAATAAACCTGAGACAAATGTTAGATAGAAAATTCCTTGCAAATTCAACGTACTCTCTGAAACAATTTGCAGTCGCTGTTCCGTGCCTTTGTCACGTGCGAATTGATATCCTTCTGAAAATAGGCGACAAGAATTACAGCACTGACGTAGATCGTTTCTTTCGTCGATTTGTTATACACTTGCGGATCACTTAACTGTGTGGTGCAACAACGGATCAATTGGTCACAGTGTATTACGGCAAATAATTCTTCTAAAATTGGCCGAGGACGCGTTAATAAGTTCCTCAAACGCGTCAGGAGAAACATAATTCCAGGCAACTGGTTAAAGATCAATTAACAGTCGTTAACGGAGGATGTATTATGCACACATAGCGGAGGTTTTTACGAACAAACGGACGAAACGCTAATTTCTCACCTGTTCAAAGTTCGAAAATTTCCTGTCTAGACTATCGCGGCGGTAAACTTCCACGCTCGAACGATAAACTTTGCCCGCTGCTTTCGTTGGATCCCCGCTAAAGTAAATAATTTAAAAATACAGAAACGCGATTTCTCGCGAAAAATTGATCAATCTGAAGAGAAAAGACTCGTCGAAGAGACTTCGTCGCGTTATTCTGGATCGTTGTTCCATGGAAATTTTGCGAGTCTAGTCGATCATTCTCGTGCTTCGCGCGAAATCAGCAGAAATTTAATAGTGATTGCCATGCAGATTCTCGTTCCAATGTTTAATCAATGAAACAATCTACTTGATCGATGAAGTTACGTTCTATTTATGTTGTGTCTAATCACGTTCTACTTACATTCCGCTAAGTAACCGGCATCGAAATTACGTCTGTAATTTAGAACGATACGCATACTTACTCTGAGAATGTGATTGTCGAATAAACTTCTATTCGTTGTACAGAAAAATGTTTCGAGTAAAACGTTGCGTTGTTTGGGGATATATCACATCGAACGTCATAGAGGAACAACCCTTTTCGAAGCTTTGAGAGGCGTTGAATGACCTTGGAGTACCAACATTATCCAGGTCGCTGAATTCATCTTGATATCAGCTAACCATCTGGATAAGATTTGTGGCTACAAATACATACTCCCCTCAAAGCAACGCAAGTTTCATTTGAAACTTGTATTCGAAATTTATTAAATTTCCATCCACTAACAATAACCCACACACTGCACGAATGCCACACCACAGAAATCCGGGATCAACGCAAACATAAACCTGACTTCTCAAAATGACATACAAAGAGTACTAAAATACCTCAAAAAACATAAACTACTACACTCATATCTAATGGCACCGTCGTCGCTAATGACCTCGCTGTCGATGCGACATTAAAGAAAAAAAATAGAAGAAGAAGAAGAAGAAGAAGAAGAAATTTATTAAAAATTCTTTATGGCGAACAGTTTAGAGAAAAATGTATCGAATCATGTGGAGAATTTCGTATGGGACACCCTGTGTGTACAAAGGGCAAGGGAATGCAGACACGTTACGCTGGCGAAAGAACAGGGTTTCGGAAGTTTCGGAAACTCGGACGTGGGTGGGATGGGGAGAGGCGCACGCGACCGATGCAAAGTATCAATAGGCCATAAATTCGCGTTGATATCGGAGCGCGATCGCGGCCGAAAATTATGGCTTGCCGGAAAACGCGATGGACGATGCCCGAAACGAAAACGAAGCGCAACCGACCGAGCATCGACCAATCGCTGGTGGTCTTGTGTAAGTCGTGCAGCCACTGATTGGAACGGGCGTGGGAGTATCGAATCGATTAGACCCGGCGATCGATTGTCGTGCGGGACGCGGCTCTGCCGCTCGTCCCGGAAACTCTCCACTATTGCTCCACTTTCCACTGCTGTCCGTGATTCCTTCCTCCCTCTTTCCTCCACCCGTTTTCTCTCGCCTCTTCTCTCTCTCTCTCTCTCTCTCTCGTCTCTTTTTCTTTGTTGTTTATTGAGTAGTCAATCGTTTGCTCTCCGTGGACACGTATATTTC